ACCTGTAGTCCCAGCTACTTGGGAGGCTGAGGCAGACGAGTCACTTGAACCCAAGAGGTGGAGGTTGCAGTGAGCCGAGATTGTGGCACTGCACTCCAGCCTGGGCAACAGAGCAAGACCCTGTCTCAAAAAAAAAAAGAAAAAAAAAAGTAACTCATTAATTCACCAAATATTTATTGACCGCCTACTAGGTGTAATCTGCTTTTGGGAGATGCACATTTTTAAAAGACATCATATCTTCCTGTCAGGGAAAAGCTATCTAAATAACTACACATGCAGATGAGTTTGTTCCAGAATAATAACAGGCTTCCTAGAGGTAGATTCAGGATGCCTCAATAAGTCAGAGGAGGGTCCAGGTGCAGTGGCTCATGCCTGTAATCCCAACACTTTGGGAGCCCAAAGTGGGCAGATTGCCTGAGTTCAGGAGTTCGAGACCAACCTGGGCAACATGGCAAAACCTCATCTACTAAAAAAAAACAAAATATTAGCCTGCTGTGATGATGGGTACCTGTAGTCCCCGCTACTCAGGAGGCTGAGGCACGAGAATTGCTTGAGCCCAGGAGGTAGAGGTTGCAGTGAGCTGAGATCGCACCATTGCACTCCAGCCTGGGCAACAGAGGGAGACCCTGTCTCAAAAAAAAAAAAAAAGAAAAAAAGAAAAAAAAGAAGTCAGAGGAGGGAGAGGTAAATTGACACAGGAAGTGACATTGATGGTGGATACTGGAGACAAAGAGAAGATCCCAGGCAGGGAAGCAGCTGGAGCAAAGGCACTGAGGCCTGCAAGCCCATGGCCAACATGGTGAAACCCTATCTCTACTAAAAATACAAAAATTAGCCAGGCGTGGTTGTGGGGTACCTGTAGTTCCAGCTACTCGGGAGGCTGAAGCACGAGAATCACTTGAACCTGGGAGGCAGACATTGCAGTGAGCTGAGATCATGCCACTGCACTCTAGCCTGGGCGATAGAGACTCCGTCACAAAAAATAATAAAAAAAAGATGCCAGCAACTGCCCCTGAGGTGGGGGGCAGGGTGAGGGGAAGCATGTTGGGACCCTCAGCTGCCCTGGATGCCTCTTCCAGCTCTGCCCAGGTGGGGACTAGGCCGGTGTGCCCCTCTCCACAGAGCAGAGTCCTTAGGGTGGAGCTCCCGGGCGGAGGCTCCCTGGGGAAAATGCAGAGAGCCACAGCCATTCCAGGGAGGCCGAGGCTAAGTGTGGGCAGCGTTGAATGTGCTACATTGGTCCTAGGCACTCAGTGTCCGGGGCACCATGCCAGATTGAGACACGAGGTCTCAGGCCTGTGGCAGCCAAGAGGGGCACTTTTCCGTGGGAGCTGTCACTTTGATTAGGGGCCTGCAGGGCTGGAGGCTTCCACAGTGACAGGCCGTCACAGGCAGTAAGGCAGGGACCCTCTCCTGCTCACATCCCCCGAGGCCATCTGTGGGAGGGAGCCTGGGGGTGGTTCTTCCCTCTCTGAGCCTCCTCGCCAAGGTCTCAGTCAGAGGCCTCCTTCTTCAGCAGCATCTGGCTCCTGGAATTCTCACTCCCAGCTCTGAGTGAGCCCTGAATACCTTGGAGGGGCACAGGAGGAGGAAGCAGCAGGAATCCACACTTCGTCTCCCTCCTCCAAGCACTGTCCCGACTTACCCTGCCCACCCCCCATCTGTCTCCTACCCAAGAGGCCCTTTCATTCTTTTTTTTTTTTTTTTGAGACTGAGTCTCACTCTGTCGCCCAGGCTGGAGTGCAGTGGTGTGATCCCAGCTCATTGCAACCTCCACTTCCCAGGTTCAAGCAATTCTCCTGCCTCAGCCTCTCTAGTAGCTGGGATTACAGGCACCTGCCACCATACCCGGCTAATATTGTGTTTTTAGTAGAGACAGAGTTTCACCATATTCGCCAGGCTGGTCTCAAACTCCCAACCTCAGGTGATCCACCTGCCTCGGCCTCCCAAAGTGCTGGGATTACAGGCATGAGCCACTGTGCCTGGCCTCTTTCATTCTTCAGGAATGCATCTTGAGCCTTCTTTCACCCCCCTTGCCTCTCCTCCCAATGGAAGTGTGGCATAGGGACCTTCCCCAGAAGAAGGCTGAACTCCATGACCCTATGGACCATCACACACACACACACACACCCCTAAATAACTTTAAGTGATTATCTGACATCTGCAAAGAGACAGAGGTTTGCTGTCCCCTCGCACTAACCTCTGATACAGATGTTGAGCCAGCACAGGGCATTGGGGGACAGCTGGGCAAGAAGCAATGACCTGCCCCCAGCCCCACACGGAGGATCTGCTTAGGAGCTGAACAAAGCACTTGCACCTGCAGCATGGCATTCTCTCCTCACCAGCCACCCTAGGCACAGATGATGACATTCAGTCTCACTTTATAAACTGGGAGAGTGGGGCTCAGGGAGATTAGGTAACACCCAAGGCCACACAGTTGGGTTTGGATCTTAGGTTTCAGACTCTATTTTGTTTTGTTTTGTGTATCGAGACAACGTCTTGTTCTGTTGCTCAGGCTGGAGTGCCTGGCACAATCGTAGCTCACTGCATCCTCCACCTCCTGGGCTCAAGCAGTCCTCCCTCGGCCTTCTAAGTAGCTGGGACTACAGGCATGCACCACCATGCCTGGCTAAATTTTTTTTTATTTTAAAAAATTTTTGTAGAGACAGGGTGTATTAGTCCATTTTCATGCTGCTGATAAAGACATACCAGAGACCGGACAGTTTACAAAAGAAAGGATTTTAATGGACTCACAGTTCCACATGGCTGGGGAGGCCTCACAGTCATGATGGAGGGTGAAAGGCACGTCTCACATGGTGGCAGACAAGAGAAGAATGACAGCCAAGTGAAAGGGGTTTCCCCTCATTAACCCATCAGATCTCGTGAGACTTACTCAGTACCACGAGAACGGTATGGGGGAAACTGCCCCCATTATTGAATCATCTCCCACTGGATCCCTCCCACAACATGAAGGAATTATGGGAGCTACAATTTAGGATGAGATTTGGATGGGGACACAGCCAAACCATATCACAAGGTCTCGCTATGTTGCCCAGGCTGGTCTCAAACTCTTGGCCCCAAGCAATCCTCCCGCCTCAGCCTCCCAAAGTGCTGGGATTACAGGCATGAGCTACTGCACCCAGCCCCAGGTTTCTGACTCTAAATTCTATCTCACACTCTTATCTGACGCCCTGCTGAGGAGAACAGAATATATTAGGAGCAACTGAGCCATGTTTGAGAGCGGGGAGGAGTATGACCCAGAGGGCAGGCTGTCCCAGCAGATGATTCCACAAATGCTCGGGACCTATGGCCACTCCTGTGCCCTGTCCCTTGGTGTGCTCAACTGAAGAATGGGAAGATGCCAGCCATCTGGCTAGGGACGGAGAGAGTAGCTTCTTAAAGCCAACCAGCCCCTCCCTTGTCTCTTGGTAGAAAGAACCCAGTCATCCAATTCAGAGTGGGCCTGCCCCATGGCATCCATTGCAACATGACACAGGAGGGGACAGGAGGGCATTTCTGAAATGACTTAAGCTCTGGCTTGCTGAAATGACCAGAAGAACCTTAGTCAGGGACTGCACGGTAGACAGTATGGGGGGCAGGAAAGCAGAGATCGAGTCAGACTATAATGGATTTCAGGGCCAAGATGGCTGCAGCTATAACACATGTCCCTGTGCCTTCCAGCGGGAGAGGGGTAGTGGTCAGAGTGGCAGGCCAAAGCTAGGCTCCCCTATTCTGCGCCCTCAGACCTCCCCTAGCTCCTGTTCGAATCGGTCCTTCCATCCCCTCTCCAAGTCTTTGACTGCAGAAGCCTCTGGCTGCATCCTGGGCCCCAGAGATCAAAGACCTTGAGCTCAAGTCATGCCTGAGTCACTGGCTTGATGAGCTTCTCACCCCCACTCCCTGCAGATGGATTAATTTCAGTCCCATCAGGAGGCCCCGGAAGCCCTCCAGCCTGTCCCCCATCCTTCAGTATCTCCCTGGGTTGCCGTTTCCTCCCCAGTCACGGCCTCCCACACACATACTGAGGCCTTTGGGTGCATGCTGCAAAGAAACGGTGCTCCCCCAAGGCCACTGAGAAGTTCTTCTTGCAGTCTGACCTGCCTCTGCCTCCTGCGGCTATTCTCCCTTGGTGGCAGGTGACAGAAGTGCCCCACACTCTTCCTGAATGTCATCATATCCCCCTCCCCCAGGTGTGGTCCTGACCATTGGTATCCCCCTCCCCCAGGACCACCAGGAAAAGCAAGGCTGTCTGGGTAGAGAATTAGGGGGCTTAGCTCAGATCCCTGCCCTGGAAGAAGACAAAGATTCTGTCTGTCTCTGGGTGGGTTAATTAGCTCTGGGTTTGAGTTTCCTTCCTCTCCCCACACAAACAACTCCTCCCCCCAGAGCCCCTTCCTAACAAACCTGTTTTCAGGAGCTGCTGCTGCCAACCCCTCCCAGATCTTCTTTGTGGTTCGAGTGTTGGCTGCTCCAGAGATTACAGGTTATTGTCTGGTGGAGACAGGATGCTGAGGGGGTGGGGGGCTAGCATTGGAACCTGGGTTTGGAATGCAGGACTGGATCCAGCTGTGGGCTGGCTGCCTCCTTTCCCCACTCCACCCCCTCCCAGCCACCAGGTGCTCAGGTCAGTAAAGAGCGAGCTTTTAGGAAGAAGAGGGAGAGGAAGGAGTGAATGGAGGGGAGAAGGACCGGGCTGGGGGATTTGGGGTGGGCAGGGAAGGGGTGTCAGGAGTTCTAGTGGATCAGGCCGGGTGCTGTGGCTCACACCTGTAATCCTAACATTTTGGGAGGCCAAGGCAGGTGGACCATTTGAAGTCAGGAGTTCGAGATCACCCTAGCCAACATGGTGAAACCTCCTCTCTACTAAAAATACAAAAATTAGCTGGGTGTGGTGGTGGGCACCTGTAATCCCAGCTACTCTAGAGGTTGAGGCAGGAGAATCGCTTGAACCCGGGAGGCAGAGGTTACAGTGAGCCTAGATCTTGCCACTGCACTCCAGCCTGGATGACAGAGCGAAATTCTGTTTCAAAAAAAAAAGAAGTTCCAGTGGATCAGATGAACTCCCTCCTCTCCTTCCTGGCATTGCCCAGGTAACAGATCCAGGGGTCCAGGTGGTAGATTAACAGTGGCAAGACACCTGGATCCCCGTTCCCCAAACCCCACATGGCCAATGCTCTTTGATAAAGTGGCAACACCTCTCTGATGCTCAGTTTCCTCTTCAGCAACAGCAGTTAAACATAAGGGGATGGTGAGGAGAGGATGAGTGAGGTTGGGCAGGAGAATGGGCTCCTGAAGCAAGTCCTGAGGCAAGAGGACAGCAAGAGCCATCCAGCAGGCAGAGCAGGGCCAGTAGCTCCTCCTTCCCTGGAGGTCCCTGTGGACAAAGTCAGCCCTTCCAACCCTTTGCTTCAGTGTAAGAGGCCCCAGGCAAGGGAATCCTCCGGGAGTGGGGGCTGAGGGATGCTCCCTGATACCCTCCCCCAGTTCTTGGTCTGCACATTTGCCCCCATACTTATTCCCTGGGGGATAAGCATGCCCTGTTCTTTCTACCTGCGGTTGGGATGGGGGAAACCAGAGAATGGGCAGCTCCTTCCTGGCAAAGAGAGACAGGGCCCTGGAACGACGCTGCTTTCCAGGCAGAACCAGGAGTCCCTCCCTCGCGCCCTCCCCTCCTGTCCCTCACATCCCCCCCTTCCCTCTGTCACTCTGGCTGGGTTTCATTTGCTCCTCGTTCTGCGCTCCGCGGTGTCTCCAAAGGCAGAGAATGCTCTTGGGTGAGTGCTGAGGACACCTGGGCTGGGAAATGGGGAGAGGGCTTAGGTGAGGGTGGTCCTCTCCCCTCTCCCCAGCCCAATCCTTTCCGGCTATAGTTGGCTCCCAAAAGTTGTCTGTCAGAGACACCAGTAGCCAGTTACTCTCAACCCTTTTCCCAGGTTCAAGGCTGGGCAGGGAAGCCCCCACTCTGGCCGAGAACAAAGGTGAAAGGAGGGGCAGGAATGGTGGGGAGCTGGAGGTCCACCCTGCAGGAAATAGGGGTGCTGGACATCTGGGCAGATGCCTGTTCAGGAGCCCATGTCAAAGGTTCCATGTATCAGACCTCACCTTTAACCGCCTCTGAGGGGCCAGGGGAGCAGGAGACGTCCGAGGGGAGTGAAGAGGGAGCTGTTACTGCAGCAGAGAAAGAGACAGCAGCAGACAGAGGGAGATGGAAATCAGGGTGCCTCCTCCCTGAGATCCAGCCACTGTACCGGGGTCCACACCAAGGCCCCCACCCTGTCTTTATCCATGGTCTGCCAGCTCACCTCTCCACACAGAAGGTTGCCTGGCCTTTTTTGAGGGAGACAGCCATCACCCATCAAAGGCTGTTTGGGGGAACCCTTTCATTGGGGGCAAAGGGCTGGAGGCAGTGGGACTGGGGGCAGAGTTTCTGTTGGGACTGGGCTTTGGAGTCTTCCTCCAGCTTAGGGGAGTCTGCACATCCTGAGTGCTAGATGACCCAGAAGTGGCTCAGGGACTCTGGAGAATGTGGGGAGGAAGCCCCTGGCCACGGTGGGAGTGGGCATGCAGTATGTCTTGGCTCAACCTCTCACTCCCCACTTTGGCTCTCTCTCCCTGGACTCCCATATTCTTCGCAGAGTTTGGGTTTTATCCATGATAGAAATGGCAGTGTCATTATTTGAGATGTGTTGTGTGCAGGCATGTGCCTCTGGGAGGACCCTATCGTCTGCCCCATGACTTGTGGGTAGGGGGGTGGGAGAAGGAGTGGGAGAGAGACTCCGTTTGGAGACATGCTCTTTTAAGTCCGATGCATTTAATTTTGTAAGGGGAGTGTGTGTGCACACCGGTCTCTGCATCTGCATATGGATCTTTGTGTACATGCATCTATCTTTGTGAAGGTGTGTGCCGCTGTGTGCCCATTGCTGTCCTTGGTCTATATCTGCATTTGTAGGGGTCTGCACATTCATGTGCATCTGTCTCTCTGGGTATATGTATACACAGGTATGTCTTTGTTGCTTGTGCCCATCTGTGTATGCATGCATGCTCTTGTGTGGCCAGTGTGCCTGCCTTTGCCTCCCGGCCAGCATGGGTATCTGTGTATCTTGGCATCAGTACCACCTCCATATAATACATGGTCTAACTGTGGGGGGATGTATGTATGTGCCTTGATGTCTATACCTGCCACTATCCATGGGTGATATGGGCCTCAGGTTTTGTGTCTCTGTGCTCGTGTGTGTGTGTGTGTGTCTGTCTGTCTGTCTTTTCCCCATTATGGCAAAATAGCAGGATGTGGTTTTCCCAGATCTTGTCCCTTGGTGGCAGCCAGGGTGATGTTATTTCATAAGATTTCTGCTCTGTGCCCTGCCCTAGCCTCGGTTGGACCTTTGGGGGCAGCCTCTTCTCCTGTACTCTGTCTGGCTTGCTCATACCTCTGACCACACCCCACCCTCTTGAGGCAGTTGGCTAATGAGCCATGGCTGCTCCAAGACACTTAGGTGGCTGTTCTGCAGCAAAATGCTATCCAAGAAGACCTACCCCCAACCTGACCCTTTTGGGGTGCAGAATTCTGGACCTGAGGGCTGTGTGGTGCCATTCGGGGGCAGCTGTGGGGGCTGTGGCTCCCTTCATTTGAGTGTAGCCAGGAGTCAGGCGGCCACACATGTGTGTGCATGTGACTCGCGCACCATCCCAGCAGCCCTGGGGCTGGGGTTCACAGTGAATGTCAGAGGCAGATGGTGGGTGGCACAGAGCAGTGCTGCATGGAGGATGCTGGGGCGGAGGAGTTCCCAGCAGCCACTGGTAGGGCTGGGACCTCAAATCAACATGCACCCTAGGCCTTTTGCAGAAGAGCAGTGTACCCAATTGTGAGGGGACTGGAAGACATTTCTGGGTGACTTGGTGCTGTCTGGAAGGGAGACTGGGTCATTCTCTTGACATTCCCTTGACCCACGGCAGCAGTCCAGCCCCCTCTCTGAATGGCCTCCACACCCGGCACCGCATTTGGTCTTCAGACCCATTTCTGTCCTGCCCTAGCCTCCTCCCCGGGTTGTAATTCCCGCTTTACAGATGAGGAAACAGGCTCATAGCTAAGTGTCCAGTCCAAGGCCTCAGAGTTAAATATAACTGGAGCTCCATCCCAGGCCTCTGGACTCCACACCTCCACGTCTGGGAGGGTTGGGGTGCCACAACAGCACATTTATCCTGCAGGGAACCTCCTCAATTCACCTCTCAGGGTAACGCAGACAGGGATGAGGGTCGGCTGTGTATCAGAGTTCTAGAAAAAGGTCAATCCAACCTCCCTCCCTCTTCCCCACTCTGTCAACCCCACTGCAAATAACTCACTAGGCTAAAACAATGAGCTTCCCAGTTCCAACTCCTCCGAAGGAGGCTCCCCATCAGGTGGGAAGGTCCAAATCCCCAGCATTCCCCTAGAGCCATCCAGCATCAGGCACTGCCCCCACCCACCCCAATTCTTCATGAACCTGCAGCGACCTGTCAACTTCCAGAGGAGATCTTTGCTCTGCCATCCCACGGCCTGGAGTGCCCTTCCCCTAGTAATAGTTCACTTACCCAGAATGCTGCGAACCCTAATTGACCCTCCCAGCAGACCTTCAGCTGATCGCCCCCTCCTTGGTGATCCCAAAGCACTTGCTTCTAAACTCTCAGAGCACTTTGCAGCCTCCACGGCGCTCTACCTGTCTGTCTCTTACGGCTGTGAGCCCCTCGAGGAACCCTGGATACATGCGCGGACCGAATGAACCCCGGCACCGCGCTGCTTGCGGTCTAGCCTCAGTGGCTCCTGCTGCGGCGCGTGCGGCTGCAGGGGCCGGAGGGTGGGGCCGGGGCCGGGCTGAGCAAGCTGGGCGGGAGGCGCGGCAGGTGGGCGCGGCCAGGTGAGCCCGGGGACGCCGCCCGCCCTGCCCGCGACCCCGGCCGGCGCCGGCTGCTGGCGCCTCTTCGCCCCCGTTGCCGCTAGTGGCTGCTGTCGCTCCGTGGAGCCCAAGGAGACCGCGGCCAGAGCGTCCACCGCCCAAGATGGTGGTTCCTGTGTCTCCGTGAGTGCTAGCGGACGGGGCAGGGGCGCCGGGCCGGGCTGGGCGCCCCCTCTCGGAGCGGGCGGGACGGGCGGGCGGAGGCTCGGTGCCTCTGCGGGGCCCACCGAGGGCTCTGTCACCACGCGCCCCCCAGAGGAAGTTCCCCAGCCCTCCCCGTCCCAGCCCCCGGGAGGATGGGTGAGATGGGGTGCAGGGGAGCCCCTTCTCACCAGGGCTGCCAGAGCAGGGGGCGCCCGGCCGTATTCTGCTGAGAGCTGGACTCCTGTTAGTGGGGTCCCAAAGCAAGGGGTCCCCAGGAGCCCGGGGAGGAGGCTCGGGACCCACATCCTGGGGCCACATGAGTAATGTTTGAGGCTTACATGCCGAGGGGCCCTTGTCAAGTTGTTCCTGCTCCCATCCGGCTGGTCAGGGTGTGGAAAGAGGTGAGAGGAGACCTGGGTTTGCAACAAGTGTGCCCCCCGGTCAGCCTTGGTCACAACTGTACCCATGGAGTTTTGTTTACGCCTCACTCCACCCAGCCTGGTTCCTTGAGGTTGAGGTGGGGAGAATGTTAATGGAATTTGACCTGTTTAGAGCAGCTCTGTCCAATAGAACTTTCTGGGATGATGGAAATGTGCTGTCCAATGCAATAGCCACTAGCCACATTGGCTACTAAGCACTTGAAAAGTGCCTAGTGTGAGCTGAACGCTAATGTTTTATTTAATTCTAAGTAATTTAAACAGCTGCATTTACAACAGCTGCAGTGGCCAGTGGCTGCTCTGTTGGACAGAGCCGTTTTAGAATCTCCACCTTTCTGGGCTCTACCTACCTGCCCTTTTGTTCTGCAGAATGGGCAGGATAGGCAGCTTCGAGGTACATGGAAAGGATCTGACAAACTTCCAGAAGGGCATTACCTTGCTCTTGCACCCCTCTGCCCCCGTTCTAAGATCCTGTGTGTAGTGGGCTAGGCAAGGTCATAGAATCACAGGATCTTGGGAGGAAATAATGTCAAAGGTAGCTGTTTTAATCACCCAACAGGTGCCCAAGGGCTGGCTCCACTGCCCTCTCTGCCTGGGCACCTGCTCTTTCTTATTCACTGCCCAATTGTGTGGTGCACTTGCTGGGTGTCAGGCACTGTACCTGTCTCTGGATTCAGACATGAAGAAGTTAGTTACCTTTCCTGCCCTCAGGGAATGTGCATGAGAAGGAGGGTGGAGAGAGGATGAAGCAAGAGAACTACACAGATAGAAGCAGAGATTTGTAATCTGTGGAGCATGCAATGGAGAGAACAAACAGGGAGCAATGACAAAAAAGAAGGGACTTCCTGGGAATCGATGGTTAAGCTAAGGCCAAAGGGGAAATGAAACAGGCCAGCTAAAGCATTGGGAGGGCAGCTGGGAACATTCTGGAAGAAGGGACAGCATGGGCAAAGGACCCGAGGGATGGGAACCTGGCACTCTGGATGAACCCAGAGAGAAGGGTGGTGTTACTAGAAAGGAAGGGAGACACAAGTGGCCACCAGAGAGGTCAGTAACCCTGGGCATTTGGCAGACCTCAAAGGAATTCTGGCACTGGCCTTAGAGGAGTGGGTGGTTGTGGAGGGGTCTAAAGCAATATATATATATATATTTTTTTTTTTTTGAGATGAAGTCTTGCTCTGTCTCCCAGGCTGGCATGATCTCGGCTCACTAAAGTGGTATATTTTTTAAAGCCCCTCTCTGGTTAAGAGAGGTTAAGAGTAGAAACCCAGCGTGCAATCAGGAAGCAACTGCGTTTGTCCAGGCAAAAGATAAAGGTGGCCTGGACAAGGTCGCCAGGCAGTGGTGTGGAGAGAAGGGACAAGTTAGAAGTGGATTTTGGAGGGAGAATCAACAGGACCTGTGGATGGAGCAGGTTCTGGATGTGGAAGAGAGCAGGGAATGAAGGGCAGGTTTCTGGCCAAGGCACCTAGGAAGAAGGATGGATTTCATTTCCTGAGACAGGGATGACTGGGAGAGGGGCATATTTGCTTTTGTTTTTGTTTTTAGAGACAGGGTCTTGCTGTGTCACCCAGGATGGCTGGAGTGCAGTGATGTGATCACAGCTCACTGCAGTCTCAAACTCTCAGGCTCCAGTAATCCTCCTGCCTCAGCTTCCTGAGTAGCTGGGACTACAGGTATATGCCACCATGCCCGGCTAATTTTTTTTCTTTTTCTTTTTCTTTTTTTTTGGTAAAGACAGGCTCTCCCTATGTTGCCCAGGCTGGTCTCAAACTCATGGGCTCAAGCGTCCTCCGGCCTCAGCCTCCCAAAAATGCTAGGATTATAGGTGTGAGCCACCACATCGAGCCAAAAGTGGCATATTTGTAAGGACAGATCAAGAGTTCAGTCTAGACAGGCCAGGAAGGTAGCTGGATGGAGTGGTGTGGTGCCCAGGCTGAGGCAGGAGAATCGCTTGAACCCGGGAGGCGGAGGTTGCAGTGAGCTGAGATTGCGCCACTGCATTCCAGCCTGGGCGACAGGACGAGACTCTGTCTGGGGGAAAAAAAAAAGTCCCAAGGAAGAGGGCCAACGAGCTTCACCTGCATCTGGCAGTCTTTCCTTACACCGAACCAGCTGGTCCTGGAACTCTCCTCATCTGCCCTTGCTTTACCCACCTACTATATGCTGGTTCCACACAGGGCACTGGTGTACGTGTTAAGTGGACAAAGACAGTTACTGCAGTCTCAGAGCTTAAGATCGTCTAATTGGGCCAGGCTGTAATCCGAGCACTTTGGGAGGCTGAGATGGGCGGATCATTGAGGTCGGGAGTTTGAGACCAGCCTGGCCAATGCGGTGAAATCCAGTCTCTACTAAAAATTCAAAAAAAAATTAGCCAGGGCTGGGCGCGGTGGCTCACGCCTATAATCCCAGCACTTTGGGAGGCCAAGGCAGGCAGATCACGAGGTCAGGAGATCGAGACCATCCTGGCTAACCAGGTGAAACCCCGTCTCTACTAAAAATACAAAAAATTAGCCAGGCATGGTGGTGGGCGCCTGTAGTCCCAGCTACTTGGGAGGCTGAGGCAGGAGAATGGCGTGAACCTAGGAGGCAGAGTTGGCAGTGAGCTGAGATTGCGCCACTGCACTCCAGCCTGGGCAACAGAGCAAGACTCCATCTCAAAAACAAAAAACAAAAAAGCTGGGCATGGTGGCACGTGCCTATAATCCCAGTTACTTGGGAGGCTGAGGCAAGAGAATCGCTTGAACCCAGGAGGTGGAGGTTGCAGTGAGCTGAGATTGCACCACTGCACTCTGGCCTGGGTGACAAAATGAAACTCTGTCTCAAAAAAAAAAAAAAAAAAAGGAAAAAAAAGATCATCTAATTGACAGTCTCAGAAACAAGAGTTCTTTCAGGTGGCCAAAATGAATCCATTCATTCCTTTTTAATGTGTTGGCATTGTTTTCTATTTTTATTTTATTTTTAAATTTTTATTGATTTATCTTTTGGAGATGGGGTATTGCTGTGTTGCCCAGGCTAGTCTTGAACTCCTGAGCTCAAGTGATCCACCTGCCTTGGCCTCCTATATTTTTATTTTTATTTTAAAATTTTATCTATTTGTTTATTTTGAGACAGCATCTTACAATGTTGCCCAGGCTGTAGTGCAGTGGCATGATCATAGCTCATGATAGCCTTGAACTCCTGGGCTCAAGTGATCTTCCCTCCTGAGTAGCTGGGACTACAGGCATATACCACCATGCCCGGCTAATTTTTTAAAAACATTTTATTTGTAAAGACAGGGTCTCCTTATGTTGCCCAGGCTGGTCTGGAACTCCTCGGCTCAAGAGATCCTCCCACCTCAGCTTCCCAAAGTGCTGGGATTACAGGTGTGAGCCACCATGCCTGGCCCTTTCATTCTTTTAAACAACCAACTTTTACTAAGAGGTATCTGTGTGCCCAGCCCCAGACAGGGACTTAGAGATATGAAAATGAACATACATGATCTTGGGGCCGGGCGCGGTGGCTCAAGCCTGTAATCCCGGCACTTTGGGAGGCCGAGACGGGCAGATCACGAGGTCAGGAGATCGAGACCATCCTGGCTAACATGGTGAAACCCCATCTCTACTAAAAAATACAAAAAAAACTAGCCGGGCGCAGTGGCGGGCGCCTGTAGTCCCAGCTACTTGGGAGGCTGAGGCAGAAGAATGGCGTAAACCCGGGAAGCGGAGCTTGCAGTGAGCTGAGATCCGGCCACTGCACTCCAGCCTGGGCGACAGAGCAAGACTCTGTCTCAAAAAAAACAAAAAACAAAAAAACATGGTCTTGGCTTCTAGGAACTCAGTGCGGAGATATATAGAGAATCCCTGTATTCACCATATTGTGTCATGAAGACTCGTGCATAGGGAGCTGTGGGGAACCAGAGGATGGCTACCGGCCCAGGTTGTAGGGATCAGCGTGGCAGAAGGGATACCCGAGCTGCTCTCAGGCAATGAGTGGGAATTAGTAAGGAAAGAGGAGGGAGAGGGAATTCTAGGCTCAGAGGATGAAGACAGGGACAAAGTAACAGCTTGGTGTCCACTGGGAATGCAAGCCTTCAGAATTGATTGGGCAGACAGGAGTGGCGGGAGGCTCTATTAACAGAAGTATTCAGAGCCTGGGGAGGGCCTTGCTGGCTTGTGGTGAGGTGTGTAGACTTAGGCAGTGGGATATCAGTAAAGAGGTGGAAGCCAGGGAGTGACACAGTTGGATCTGTGTGTGAGCTTGCTGTCTCTGACTATTGGGTGAGGGATGAGTCTGGGGGAAATGACCATGCAGAGACCGAGGCAGCTGCAATGATCCAGGTGATACCGTGAGGGCCTGAACTGGACCAAGGCTAGGCAGCCGAAGGGAGAGAGATGGTACAGACCAGGGTCTCAGTACAGCCTTTGGGGTCAGGAGGACATGGGTTCTGATTCAGCCTCAGCTACTTACTGCTTATGAAACCTAAAGCAAGCCAGTTAAAGTCATTGACCTCAGTTTTCTCCTCTCCAAAAGGATAATGTCTCAGCCACGGAGAGTCGTCTGGGTCTGCCCTGGATCATTGTAAAGCACTTAGCACAGGGCCTCAATTCACATCCCAGAAATGGTAGTTACAGTTAAGCATGAAGAGGAGGACACAGGTTGGATAAATAATTAAAAGGTAGAGTTAAGGCCGGGCGTGGTGGCTCACGCCTGTAATCCCAGCGAGATCACGCCACTGCACTCCAGCCTGGGTGACAGAGCGACACTCTGTCTCAAAAAAAAAAAAAAGGTAGACTTGGCAGGTTTTGGCCAATGGCTGGACATGGCTTTTCAATCCTGAACTGCTCATCCTGGCCTTGTGTCTGGGGAGGTGGCAGAGTGAGGGAGGTAGAGGCAGCCGGCTACCTGCCTTCAGTCTGGGGCCCCAGGTCTAGGCTACCTGTCCCAGAACCACAGTACCAGTGGGTGTGGGTGTGAGTTTGTGTGCACCTGTGTGTGTAAGGAAGGGAGCTTTAGAGAAAGTACATCTTCCTGTGGCTTGGCAAGAATCAGCTTTGCGCTGATTTCTCTTTTTTTTTTTTTTTTTTTGAGATCGAGTTTTGCTTTTGTTGTCCAGGCTGGAGTGCAATGGCATGATCTCAGCTTACTGCAACCTCTGCCTTCTGGGTTCAAGCGATTCTCCTGCCTTAGCCTCCCAAGTAGCTGGGATTACAGGCATACGCCACCATGCCGGCTAATTTTGTATTTTTAGGAGAGATGGGATTTCTCCATGTTGGTCAGGCTGGTCTCGAACTCCTGACCTCAGGTGACCCGCCTGCCTCGGCCTCCCAAAGTGCTGGGATTACAGGCATGAGCCACTGCACCCGGCCATCCTTTTTTTTTTTCTTTTTTTTTTGAGACAGGGTCTAGCTCTGTCACCCAGTCTGGAGTGCAGTGGCGCCATCACGGCTCACTGCAACCTCTGCCTCCCAGGCTCAAGCAATCCCGCCTTAACCTCCCCAATAGCTGGGACTATAGGCATGCACCACCATGCCTGGCTAATTTTTTTTTTTTTTTTTTTTTTTTAAGAGATGGGGTTTTGCCATGTTGCCCAGGCTGGTCTTGAATTCCTGGGCTCAAGTGAACCACCTCCCAAAGTGATTACAGGAGTGAGCCACCATGCCTGGCCTGATTTCCTTCTGATGAAGTAGATGACTGTGGGCTGAAGGGCACAGTCATCTTTTGGGCTAGGAGTTGAGAGTTCTGAGTTTTAGTCCTGTTTCACTATGAATTCCTCATGGGCCCTGAGAACCACTATCTGTCTCCAGACTGAGTTTCCCCCTTATAAAATGCAGTTGCCTAAGTAATGCCAGTCTTTCCAGTTCTGAGATGCTTCAGCAGTCAAAGCGAATCAGTGCCTTGTCCTGGGGTGGAAAGAGACCCTGGGAGAGGGCTGGGGTCCCCATACCTCCCCGCTTTGGATAACACTCTAGGGCCCTTTGCATGACTCCATCCACTGCCCAGAGCCCCTGCCCCATTGAGCCCCTCCACCCCTCAGCTGGGAGGACTCTGTGGGCAGCATGGAGCCTACCACGCCACCCTAAACTGCCCCTACCATGACAGACCCCTAACACCTCCCCCTTGTCTGTTTCATCTCCAGTCTCCCACCCACGGAGCACGAATAAACTCTTCAGGCTGAGATGGATGGGCCCTGTTAGCCTGGCGGGCTGCCCCCAGCCTGCCTCCCCATCAACTCCTCTTGTCAAGGGAGGTGCCTCTGTGTGGGGGGGAGGCAGGGGGGCAAGAGCATTCAGGTGGGGGTTGGGAGTTCCTTGCTCAGAGAGCAAGAATGGTGCCCCCAGGGAAGAAACCAGCGGGAGAGGCCTCCAACTCCAACAAGAAGTGTAAGCGTTACTTCAACGAGCACTGGAAAGAGGAGTTTACCTGGCTGGACTTTGACTATGAGCGGAAGCTGATGTTCTGCCTCGAGTGCCGCCAGGCCCTGGTACGGAACAAGCATGGCAAAGCCGAAAACGCCTTCACTGTGGGCACTGACAACTTCCAGCGCCACGCCCTGCTGCGCCATGTGACCTCAGGAGCCCACCGCCAGGCTCTGGCTGTCAACCAGGGCCAGCCCCCTTTTGAGGGCCAGGCCGAGGGTGGAGGGGCCTGCCCAGGCCTGGCTACGACCCCCGCCTCCAGGGGCGTCAAGGTGGAGGTAGACCCGGGCAAAGTGGCTGTGCTGACTACCGTGTACTGCATGGCAAAGGAGGATGTGCCCGACGACCGCTGCTCTGCCCTGCTCGAGCTGCAGAGGTTCAACCTGTGCCAGGCACTGCTGGGCACAGAGCATGGCGATTACTACAGTCCCAGGAGGGTGAGGGACATGCAGGTGGGTGACAGCCAGAAGTACGGGGGAAGGGCTTGGGAAGGGAGGACACTGAGCCACCTGGGAACAGCCCCAGCATGCCAGGCCCTTGGGGAGCAGCTAGGGCATTTCATTCATATCTTCTCCCTTCAGAACCTTCCCTGAGGGCCTACTGTGTGCCTGGTGCTGGGCTAGCTGCAGGGATACAATAGTGAAGAGGCCAGACCAGGCCTTGTCTTTAGCGGGAACAGGGGCACTCTTCTCACTAGCTAAATCAGACGTTGCAAACTGGTGGTCTGGAGGCTTGATTGACCCACAGATGTATTTAATTTTTTTTTTTCTGAGGAGTCTCGCTCTGTCGCCCAGGCTGGAGAGCAGTGGCGCGATCTCAGCTCACTGCAACCTCTGCCTTCCTGTCTCAAGTGATTCTCCTGCCTCAGCCTCCCTATTAGCTAGGATTACAGGCATGTGCCACCACACCCAGCTAATTTTTGTATTTTTAGTAGAGACAGGGTATCACCATGTTGGCCAGGCCAGTTTTGAACTCCTGACCTCAGGTGATCTGCCCACCTCAGCCTCCCAAAGTGATGGTATTATAGGTGTGAGCATCCGTGCCTGGCCTCTGTTTTTTTTTTTTTTTTTAAACATACAGATAGGGTCACACTATGTTGCCCAGGCTGGTCTTGAACTCCTGGCCTCAAGCAATCCTCCTGCCTTGACCCACCAAAGTGCTGGAATGGAAATGGAAATGACTTCTGACTTAGTTTTCTTTTGGGGCTGTTTTCTGTGCTGAGCCTGTTTAATTAGTTTTCATAGTGTTTTTGAAAAACTCGAATTTGTTTCAACTTTAAAAAAACTCAGGAGATTACATATAAAAATCTATATTTGTGACTATATTGAAAAGCAAGGTCCCCATGCTCTCACAGCAGGATGTGCTGGAGTTGGAGAGCAGGGCATTATCTGGCTTATCCCTGGCCTTCTCTAAGCTCAGTATCACTCACATGGCCCCTGGAGACATGCAGATTGCAGCTCTGTCCTAGGTACTAACTGTGTGAGTCCTGTGGGCTGGGTTGGAGGTGGGGGAGTTGGTTCTCATCCTACAGAGATGACAAATAGAGAAACAGCATACACCTGGGACCCAGGGTAACTGGGAGTTGGGAGTGAGTGTGCCTATCAGTTAATCGCTGAGCTGGACAGTGGAGGGAGACCCCCAGGAATAGGGCAGACTAGGATGATGCTATAGAAAAACACAGTGAAAAAATTAGCTTTCCTAGAGCTCTTTGTGGTTCATAAAGTGCTTTCACCACAACAAAAGTTGACATTTATAATTTATAACAATGCTTTGAGAAGATTTGGGGCTGGTATTAGCTGACAGCAGGTATAAGAGCTTAGAAAACTAGACCGGATGTGGTGGGAAGCCAGGGTGGCAGGACTGTTCTTAGGCCAGGAGCTGTAGAGGTGAGAAAACTAAGGCTCAGAGAGGTGAAGTGACTGGCCGAAGGTAGCACAGCCAGTAAGTGGCAAAGCCAGGATTAGTCCCTAAGTCTGTGTGACCTCAAGGCCTGGGCTCTTTCCATCACCCCGCACTGCCTGCCTCCGCCTCTCAGGACAAGCCTAACTCAGTCCTCCCTCCCTTTCTCTTCCTGGCTGTCCCAGGTGGCCATTGCCAGTGTCTTGCACACAGAGGCCTGCCAGCGCCTGAAGGCATCCCCATATGTGGGGCTGGTGTTGGACGAGACCAGAGACTGGCCGGAGTCACACAGCCTGGCCCTGTTTGCCACTTCGGTGTCCCCCTGTGATGGCCAGCCTGCCACCACCTTCCTGGGCAGTGTGGAGCTACAGGAGGGCGAGGCCACTGCTGGCCAGCTCTTGGACATCCTGCAGGCTTTCGGCGTATCTGCACCCAAGCTGGCCTGGCTCAGCTCAAGCCTCCCCAATGAGCGCCTGGGGAGTGTGGGCCCACAGCTCCGGGCCACTTGCCCACTGCTGGCAGAGCTGCACTGCCTCCCTGGCCGCACAGATCCTGAGCCCCCCGCCTACTTGGGTCAATATGAGAGCATATTGGATGCCCTATTCCGCCTCCATGGTGGTCCTAGTTCCCATTTGGTCCCTGAGCTCCGGGCAGCACTGGACCTTGCAGCTATTGACTTGGCAGGGCCTCGGCCAGTGCCCTGGGCCTCCCTGCTGCCTGTCGTGGAAGCAGTGGCAGAGGCCTGGCCTGGCCTGGTGCCCACCCTGGAGGCTGCAGCCCTTGCCTCACCTGTGGCAGGGTCACTGGCCCTGGCCCTGCGCCAGTTCACCTTCGTGGCCTTCACCCACCTGCTGCTGGATGCCCTGCCCTCTGTGCAGAAGCTCTCCCTTGTCCTGCAGGCAGAAGAGCCGGACATGGCCTTGCTGCAGCCCCTGGTGATGGCGGCTGTGTCCTCCCTCCAAGCTCAGCGCGGCTCAGGTGGGGCCCGCCTCCAGGGCTTCCTGCAGGAACTGGCATCCACGGACCCTGACACCAGCAGCGGGCGCTGCACCTACCGCGGCGTGGAGCTGCTCGGTTACTCAGAGGCTGCGGTCCGGGGCTTGGAGTGGCTCCGGGGGTCCTTCCTGGACTCCATGCGGAAGGGCCTACAGGACTCCTACCCCGGGCCTTCGCTGGACGCCGTGGCTGCCTTCGCGGCGATCTTCGACCCCCGCCGCTACCCTCAGGCGCCAGAGGAGCTGGGCGCGCATGGCGAGGGGGCGCTGCGGGTGCTGCTGCGCGGCTTTGCGCCTGCCGTGGTGCGCCAGCGGGCGCTAGGGGACTTCGCGCTGTTTAAGCGCGTGGTGTTCAACCTTGGGCGGCTCGGCCCGCGGGCCTTGTGCACTCAGCTGGCGTGCGCGCACTCGGAGCTGCACGAGCTCTTCCCCGACTTCGCTGCCCTAGCCGCTTTGGCTTTGGCACTGCCCGCGGGCGCTGGCCTGCTGGACAAGGTCGGCCGCAGCCGGGAGCTGCGGTGGTGGGGGCAGAGCGGGGTCGGGGAAGGCCGGGGGGGCCACGTGGTGAAGATCGCAGTGGATGGGCCCCCGCTGCACGAGTTTGACTTTGGGTTGGCTGTAGAGTTCTTAGAGAGTGGGTGGGGAGAGGGCTTCCTGGGGTCGCAGCTCACCTGAGGGTGGCCTCCTTCTCTCGGCCCAGCCAGCTTGGGGCCCTTAGGGCCAACCTAGACTTGACCATGCTGCACCCAAGATGATCTGCTGACTGTGGCCTCCCAGGGGCCTGAGGCCACCCACCCACCCTTCTGGAGCTTCCCACCAACCCCATCCTGTAGGCTGTGGAGGAAGGGACTGGTTCAAGAGGGGCCTGGGTGGGTGGGCAGAGATGCTAGGATCTGGGGCACCCTAAATCATTCCTGGCCTTTACACAGTTAGATGAGGAGTAGCTCACCCTTTTTCCTTCTGGATTCGGCCCAAGTTTGGGCTCCCCCCAGAAATATGGGAGTTCTTGGCTTGGGGGAGGAAGACTAGGTCTTGGGAATTGAGTGGCTGAGGGAAGGGACGCTGGTCCTTGGCTGTTTCTTTCTTTTTCTTTCTTTCTTTTTCTTTTTTTGAGATGGAGTCTTGCTCTGTCGTTCAGGCTGGAGTGCACTGGCACAATCTCGGCTCACTGCAACCTCTGCCTCCTGGGTTCAAGCAATTCTCCTGCCTCAGCCTCCCGAGTAGCTGGGATTGCAGGCGCCCACCACCACACCTGGCTAATTTTTATATTTTCAGTAGAGACGGGGTTCCACCATGTTGGCCAGGCTGGTCTTGAACTCCTCACCTCAAGCGATCCACCTGCCTCGGCCTCCCAAAATGCTGGGATTACAGGCATGAGCCACCGCGCCCTGCCCTTGGCTGTTTCTTAGTCCCACTCCCGGCAGTGTCTCTTCTCTTCAGCTATGACTGGGGAGTAGATGACCGTGCTTGTTTCTGACACACAGCACAGTGTCCTCTCTGTACACAAGCTGGTGGTTCAAGGGCCAATGGTTCCGGGGAGACAGTGTTTCCCTTCCTCCCCTCCTCACCAATGGGCTGCCTCAGGCCTTTTCTGTGTATAACTGTGTATATAGACATAAAACCTACAAATGTGAAATAAACCTATGCTATCTTTCATAGTGTTACCACACAAACATCTAAAAGGACTACTTTTGGTTTTGCAATGACAGGGTCCAAAAATGCCCCAGATGGGCTGGATTTATTTTTTCTAATTTTTTATTCCTCAAAGTCCAGTTGCTCTCCAAGTTCCTATCCCTCCCCTGCCCTTGCCCCAGACCTTTAATTAAGACCAAAGACTGCAAATCCCCAGTGCTGTACCTGCCGCCTCCGAGGACTGGCCTCAAGGCCCAACCCAGGGACGCTGGCTTATTTGCCTCCTGCGGGAAGCAGTTTAGACCTCACCAGAGCTGGGGAACACATCCCTTCAGAGCCCATGGGTTTCCCATTCCCTCCTGTCAGCCCTGGCTGTGAAAGCCTGGGGATCTGGAGGGAGGGAGGATAGTTAGAGAGTGACAGGGGCGAGAGCTGGCCTTTTCCTAATATCCCTGGGTTTGAGTTTAATTTGCAATAAAATGGAATCCCAGCACATCATGCAGTCTCCATGGTGGTGTGTGACAGGGGCCTGCCCAGACCCCTCTGTCCCTCTCTTGGCTGGGCTGCCCTGGGGTTCAGTATGCTGCCTCAGTAGGGGCGGGAGGGTCATCCCTCTGGGCTGGGAGCCTCCAACTGTGGACTCCCTGCCTCTGCTTCCCCAGCTGTGGGAAGGAAGGGCACAGGGAAGGGGGGTATAATCACCCTGGGTCTGGCTGGTGCCACTCTGTGAAGAGAGATACAGGTTTCTGCCCAGCTCCACACCCAGGGAGCCCATCTGCCTCTTGTTCTGGCTACAGAGGTAGGAGAGAGCCCATTTCAGACCGTGCCCTTCTTCCTCCTGCAGCAGGCCCGGCCTCCAGCGCCCCCAGCCCCCTGCTGGCCTCCCTGCCCCTGCCCACCCGGCCTCTGCAGCCCCCGCTGGACTTCAAGCACTTGCTCGCCTTCCACTTCAATGGCGCTGCCCCGCTCAGTCTCTTCCCCAACTTCAGCACGGTATGGGCTGGGCTGGCGGGTGGGGGCATGCACCCAAGCTTGTGGGTGGGCATGGAAGTTGGGCTCAGGGGCCAGCTCTCAGCAGCTGGGTCTAACCAGGAGCTTGTTCTCCAACCTCCCTCAGAGGGGATAGGTGCTCCCCAAATAGGGACCCCTATTTGGGACCCTAGGAGAGGGCCCCGCTCTCTCCTAGGCTGGGGAACAAGATGGTGTCAGCCCTCTCCCCACCCCCAGCATCATAGCTGCTGGGCCTGCAAGAGCCTGTAGCCTGTGCACTCCACTTGAGCTTCTGTGTAGGCGCTCCTGTGGATGACGTGTGTGTGTGTGTGTGTGTGTGTAACTGACCTGTGCCTTTCTGTTGTAGTTTCTGTAGGTCTTTGTATGTTATATGTGGATGTGAGTTTGTGTGTTGGTGTTCAGCGTGTGTTTGTAAACAACTTTTTGTGTGTGGGTAATTTTATGTAATTAAGGTATTTGCCTGTGTAATCTGAGGGTTTGTTGTGTCCTTGTGTCTTTTAAGTGTGTGTTTGGCGTGTATCTGCCCTCTAAGCGTATGTTTTTGTGTGGTTTGGGTGATTTTGAGTTTACCTGTGGTCACGTGCCCTTTGTGTGCTTAAGTGTTAATTGTTCTGCTTGTCTGAGCATTTGTAACTGCCTGAAGCTTTTGTGCTGTGTATGTGTCCTGGTCTGTACATTTCCTTGTACATGTGTGTGCATAACAAGTGTAGTATGGGCCGGGCGCGGTGGCTCAAGCCTGTAATCCCAGCACTTTGGGAGGCCGAGACGGGCGGATCATGAGGTCAGGAGATCGAGACCATCCTGGCTAACATGGTGAAACCCCATCTCTACTAAAAAAATACAAAAAAACTAGCCGGGCGAGGTGGCGGGCGCCTGTAGTCCCAGCTACTCGGGAGGCTGAGGCAGGAGAATGGCGTAAACCCGGGAGGCGGAGCTTGCAGTGAGCCGAGATCCGGCCACTGCACTCCAGTCTGGGCGACAGAGCGAGACTCCGTCTCAGAAAACAAAAACAAAAACAAAAACAAGTGTAGTATGAATTTTAATTCACTATATAAGGGATCAGCAAGCATCTCCGTTTTTTTAAATTTGGAAAAATCAAATGAAATCATGGGTGTGGCATGCCCCATCCTGAGCAGATGGTGGCAAACTCCACCTTAGTCACACTTAGGAATCCCTTCCTCCCACCCTCCAGAGTTAGACAGAGGTCCTAAGGAGTCTGAGGCATTTGGGAGGTGGTCCTCTGGTCTCAAGTCCCTGCTGTCGCTTGCTGACAGGCTCACTGTTGAAAGGCATGGTTCCAATTGCAGGGGGCCCCTGCAGGCCATTCTCCTCTGAGGTCCTGTCCCCTGAGCCCCTTGCTGGCACTGGGTGCTATGAGAATTTGAACCTCTTTCTGTTCTCAGGGAAGTTTCTGCACCCATGTGCTTCTCTCTAAGCTCTGTTTTCTTTTCTTGGGAAGGTTTGGAAAGTTCCTTTTTTATTTTATTTTATTTTTATATAAGCAGAGATGAGGTCTCACTATATTACCCAGACTGGTCTCAAACTCCTGAGCTCAAGGGATACTCCCACCTCAGCCTCCCAAAGTGTTGAGATTACAGGTGTGAGCCACTGCACCCAGCCTGGAAGGTTCTTGACAAGTTCAGACAACTGCATTTGGCCCAACCTCCTGAGAAAAGGGAACATCAAGCCTTAATTCTACAGAAGAAAATAATGATTTAAAATAAGGAAAAGAAGCCAGGTGTGGTGGCTCACGCCTGTAATCCCAGCACTTAGGGAGACTGAGGTGGGCTGATCACCTGAGGTCAGGAGTTTGAGACTAGCCTGGCCAACAGAGATGGCAAAACCCCATCTCTACTAAAAATACAAAAATTAGCCAAGCATGGTGGCAGGTGCCAGTAATCCCAGCTACTCGGGAGGCTGAGGCAGGAAAATCGCCTGAACCCGGGAGTGGAGGTTGTAGTGAGCCAAGATCGTGCCATTGTACTCCAGCTGGGGTGACAAGAGTGTCTCCATCTCAGGAAAAAAAAAAAGAGATAGTGAAACCCCATCTGTACTAAAAATACAAAAATTAGCTGAGCATGGTGGCGGGCACCTGTAATCTCAGCTACTCAGGAGGCTGAAGCAGGAGAATTGCTTGAACTCAGGAGGCGGAGGTTGCAAGATCTTGGCTCTGCCATTGCACTCTAGCCTGGGCGACAAGAAGGAGACTCCATCTCAAAATAAATAAATAAATAAAAGAGTAGTAAGGAAAAGAAAAAAAATCCAAATTAATATTCCAAAGAAATGATCCTCCTCCTTAGGGAACCTTAGGCCTCCACTTGCTGCTCCCTGCCCCCTACTAGCCCCCCACCTCCCCTGGCTGTGGCTCTCACTCTCTCAAGAGAGGTCGTCATGGCTGGGCACAGTGGCTCACATCTGTAATTCCAGCACGTTGGGAGGCCAAGGCAGGCAGATCACTTTGAGGGTAGGAGTTTGAGACCAGCCTGGCCAACATGGTGGAACCCCGTCTCTACTAAAAATACAAAAATTAGCCAGACGTCGTGGTGGGTGCCTGTAATCCCAGCTACTCAGGAGGTTGAGGCAGGAGAATCACTTGAACCGGAGAGGTGGAAGTTGCAGTGAGCTGAGATCATGCCACTGCACTCCAGCCTGGTTGACAGAGCAGTACTCCATCTTAGGGGAAGAAAAAAAAAAAAAAAGAGGTTGTCAGCAGCCTCAGGCTCTGTGATAGTGGCAGAGCTGATGAGATAGGACTTATCTTCCCCCAGCCTACAGGTCCAGGCATGAAGCCTGGGTGATGGGAGAGGAAATTCCAGCAGAAGGGTTCTTTGTCTTTTCCTTGCCTCTCCTTGTTTACAACTCTGTGTCCCAATAGTTGTGATTATTGCAAAGGAGGAAAAAAAAAAAAAAATGACCTAAGGGGCACCAAGAGATGCCAAGGCTATCACCAGAACGTGGTTCTATGTCCCAGTATCATGCAGGGCACTCTGGCCATTCCCCTACTTCCAAGCAGAAGCCCAGGCTGACAGATAAAGACAGCCAGGGAAGAGGCTGTTTCTTTTTCTTTTCTTTTTTTTCTTTTCTCTTTCTTTTCCCTCCCCTCCCCCCCCTTCCCTTCCCCCCCTTTTTTTTTTTTTTTTTGTTTTTTTTTTTTTTAAGGCAGAGTCTCACTCTGTTACCCAGGCTGGAGTGCAATGGCACAGTCTCAGCTCACTGCAACCTCTGCCTCTCTGGTTCAAGCTTCCTGCCTCAGCCTCCTGAGTAGCTGAGACTACAGCCACACGCCACCACGCTCAGCTAATTTTTGTATTTTTAGTAGAGAAGGGGTTTCACTTGGCCAGGCTGGTCTCGAACTCCTGACCTCAGGTTATTCACCCATCTTGGCCTCCCAAAGTGCTGGTATTACAGGCGTGAGCCACCGCACCCAGCCAGCTGTTTCTTTTTCTTTTTTCTTTCTTTTTCTTTCTTTCTTTCTTTCTTTCTTTCTTTCTTTTTTTTTGAGACAAAGTTTTGCTCTTGTTGCCCAGGCTGGAGGTGCTCTCGGCTCACCGCAACCTCCATCTCCCCGGTTCAAGCAATTCTCCTGCCTCAGCCTCCCAAGTAGCTGGGATTACAGGCACACGCCATCACACCTGGCTAATTTTGTATTTTTTTTTTAGTGGAGACGGGGTTTCTCCATGTTGGTCAGGCTGGTCTTGAACTCCCAACCTGAGGTGATCTGCCTGCCTCGGGCTCTCAAAGTGCTGGGATTACAGGCGTGAGCCACCGCAGCTGGCCCAGGTGTTTCTTTTTCCAACATCCACAGGATGGAAAAGTTCTTCCTAGAAGCTGACGACGGCCCACTTCAGTCATCTTTAGTTTTGTGCTGCCCCCAATCCCTGCTTCCCAAGCCAACCCCAGAGTTATTATGCCCTCCCACTCCCTTCACAGATGGACCCGGTCCAGAAAGCTGTCATCAGCCACACGTTTGGGGTCCCCTCCCCTCTGAAGAAGAAGCTCTTCATTTCCTGTAACATCTGTCACCTAAGATTCAACTCAGCGGTGAGACAAAGTAGTGAAAGCAGGTCTGGGGAGGGGGCTGGGCAGGGAGAGGGCTGGAGGCTGGGCTTTCAGGGTCCTTCTGGGAGGAATACCAGTGGCAAAGGGGCTGTGGTCTGTATTTTCAATCCCTGGCTGCAGAAGAGGCACTCTTGATTCTTTGACCATCACACCCTCTCCTCTAGATTCTTCTGCCCCTTCCCCTTCTGCCCAGCTATAGCCCAGTGGGATTCCATTTCCTTCCCCCCAGGCCTCTCTCCTGTGTTCTGGATCCTTCTGCAAGAGAGCAGACTGCCCTTCCTCCACTCCGGGTCCCAGGGGACCATCTCATCAGCTCCTGATCTGAGTTTACAGAATGTGATCATGCCCGTCACCTTAAATAATAGTTCTCATGATACGTCTGTGAGAGGGGTGGAGGCAGGATTTTTGTGTGTTTGTGTGTGTGTGTT